GATCCCACATCTCAGGTTCTTGCTATTCACTCATTCCTTTAACAAAATTGATGTTAAACATTGATTGAGGACTTTCAGGGACTGTCCTGGGTGTTCGTTGTGCAATGGGGAGCACAACTTCGTCTTAACCCGCATGGAGTTTCAGTTCCAGCGGGCACAACAGATGACAAATTAGAAAATCTTTTAATGTTTCTAATATTAATATTTTTCTGGTATGCTGAAAAACGAAAGATGGGAATGGAGCATGTAGAGCTCAGGAGCTAGAAAGAAGTAAGGCCAAGAGGAGGAATCCATTTGGTCTTGTCTTTCTTTTGTTTTCTTTTGAATATTTTTGAATGTAATACATTTTCCCCCCAAAAGCTTCTAATGACTGTCAGGATTTAAAAAAAAAAATGAGAATTTATAGGAGTGAGATTAACTGCAGCTCTTAAAATAGCTCTTTGTTTCTGAAAGCCTTGTTCGCCATCTATCTTAGAACTGGGGGGGAAAAACCCTTAAGCAATAAGTTGTATAGCCCCTACCACAAGGAGGATGTGCCCTGATGTGACCTCAAGCATAAACTGATTTTTTAAAACATAGAGAGGGGAAAGACTTTTTTCCTGTATTTCTTGGGGGCTTTTACTAGTGAACAATACATCTTAATATATGACCTATTATTTGTCCTTATTGAATGTGGTGGGTATGTGGAGGGTTTGTGAGATGATGATTTCATATTACTGTATCAGAAAATATTAATATAGGCACTCATTAACATATTTTTCAGACAGAATAATCTTGACTTTTAAAACCTCTTCATTTAATACAAACATCAAGTAACTTCTTGGTCTGGATTATGCTTGGTGCCTTCTTAGAAATAGCAAGAGCCGTTTTCTAATCTTTTAACTATCTGTTCAGCAAATAGTTACTGTGCACCTATTATGTGCCTAAGCATTGTGCTGCTCTCCAGTGCCAGGTGGTCAGGTGTACCTCCATTAACATAGACTCACATACATTACTTCCAGTGACCTAGAATAACTTTTTTAAAGGAAAAAAACTAATTTTACGAGGATCAAAAAGGAGATTTCCGTAAGGTACAAGAAAGAGGACAATTGGCCCCTGAGATAGATGTGGTCCTACACTTAGTTGTCTTTGGACTTGAGCACGTTTTCCTTGAAAATGTGGCATCCAGATTTTGAGCCTAGTTCTCTATTCTTGCGCTGTGGTGAGATGCATCTTGGAGCTTCTAGGTCTGTATTCCCTGACCTCTCAGGGCTTTTGTCTCTTTGTCTCTGTGCTTCTGTCTGGCACTTACAGAAGAGCTTTGGTACCGTCACTTCTCCAACAGTAGCGTGCCTGTGGCCCACCCAGAGAGCTTTTTAGATTGCAGGTTCTGACTCACTGGGCATGGGGCAGGGCCTGAGTTTCTCCCTCTGACTACCTCCTGGCTGGTGCTGAGGCTGGCACCTGCTCATCATACTGAGAAGCTTGGTTCAATGCGATTTTCTCAGATGTAACCACTATTCATAAATTTTCTTTCCAGCTGCATCTAATCTGCTATTTAACTGTATCCAGCAGATTCTTGACTTTAAATTCAATAACATTATTTTTTATTTTTACAAGTCCTGTTTGATCACTTTCAAATATGCTTGGGCCTTTTTCAGAGTGTCTTGTTCTTTTACTAGAATTTCTTTTTTTTTTTTTTTGAAAAAAGATTTATTTATGCATACAAGAACTGGGGTACAGGCCAGAGGTGTGGGGGTGAGAGACAGAGTGGGGAACAGAACAGGCAGATCTACTGAAATACACTGCTGAGGGGAGCAGCGGGCGAGACAGGAGAGGTCTGCTGTGCCTTGTGGGTACCTCCCTGGCTGGGGATCGAACTCGTGCTGCAGTGGCTGTGGATAGCTTCATAGATTGTGTCTTAACCCCTTGTGCCACCAGGGAGGCCCCTCTTTTACTAGAATTTCTACTTATTTGCCTGGATAATAAATTTTATTTTTTAGTTCATTTTAGGTTACTTTTTTTCATCTTTAATTTTTGGGGAGCTAATTCCCCTATCTGCTGATACTTCTTCATGGCAGTTTCGGTGGGTTGTTTTCCCCTTGCTATTGGTAGTTGATAGATTTTACTTTTTTACTGTGAACTCATTTCCTGTGGGAGTTGAGAGATTTTGTGTGTGTGTGTGTGTGTGTGTGTGTGTGTGTGTGTGTGTGTGTGAGAGAGAGAGAGAGAGAGAGAGAGAGAGAGAGAGAGAGAGAGAGAGAGTGTTCTGGGTTGTGAGACTGCCCCTCCAATTTTTTCCCCACTTGAGTCCACTCGTGCATTAAGCCTGGGCAAGGCATCCGTGTCACTTTCTGGTATACAGAGACTTCTAATACCCGCATTTCTCTGGCTTGAACCTGTAGCTGTTTTCCCCGGCACATGTGACCCACAGATGCCCTTCTGTTCAGAGTTTCCTGTTGTATTCAACTGACTACCTGTCTAGAGGTTCACATACCTGCCTTCTTATCTGTCCGGTCACTGTCTCACCCGTTATCAGCTAGTGATTTCCTGTTGACTTCTCTTTCCTTTTATTTAAGATTATCTGGCCCTTTGTAAAACCTGACCACGTGGGCTAGCTTTGGGCATGATTGACTTTTAAAGAGGAATCATATTTTATAGTACAGAATTTCTAAATCATAATTATTTCACAGAGGGTGGCTCCTACCCTATATTAATCACACTCCTTACTCAGACATGGCATTCTATTTCCGTCTCCTAAAGATAAATTAATATATACTGGAAAGGGAATTAAACTTCTGCTAGGAATTAAATGACTTGATATGATTAACACAAACGTCCAAATGAATGTGTCTGTATTTTGCTCAGGAAAGAAGAATGTTTAGTGCAGATTCTGCTATATCTCACTAGTCTTTAGTAACTGCAGAATGGGTCATAAAAATGTATCTCATATTAACAATAATAATAATAATAATAAATAATAAACATATAAACAAAAAAAATAATAATAATAAAGAACATTCCATTTTTATGGAATGTTCACTGTGTGCTAAAACTGTCCCAATCACCTTAGACAGATTTTTTTCCCCTTTCATTTAAACCTCCCTTGGCCCTTGGAGGAAGATATCCCTAGCTTAAATCAGAGGCTCAGAGAGGTTAAGTGACTTTTGCAAGGTCACAGAGCTGGTTTGTGGTGGAATTAGGATTTGAATCTATTCAGTCAGATTCTAAAGTATGTGCTGTTAACCACACTACTTCCATATTAGTACCATCTGCAAATCTCTCTCCATATGGTTCCTCAGTTTTTATTGAGTTTCCTTATTTTGGGATGGAAAATGTCTCTTTTGAGCCTTATGAAATGTAATTTCCATTAAAAATTTTTTTTTGGCTTAAAGAAAAGGTATTGGGTAATTGAAATCAGCTTGGGCTTGAGCCTGTGTTGACGGAAGTACACATGGGATGTGGGCTGAAGCTTTCGGTGTAATTTTTCTTTCCATCGGCTAATTTTAAAGTATCGAGCAAGTCTATTCTGATACTAACAGGGAAGGTTTAAATTCTCTTGAGAGCTTGAAGGTGTTAAATACTTTTCTGGTAGTGCACACTTTATGTTTTCAATCTTCCACTTCATCTTAATGCACCTGCAGCTCTGAGAATGTTCCTTGCATTTCCCGGGAGCTGGGAAATTCTTCATTCTGGGCGTGCTCCCGTCCACATCCCTTCACCATTCCAGCTAGTTCCAGCACTGCTTTGGGGACTGTGGTATTGGGGAACTTTGGAAATAGCCAGATTCTTTTGAGTCTGCAAGCAGAAAACAGATTGCTGCTCATATCTGGCAACGCAGCTTTGCCCAGAAAACGAGGAGTTAAAAAAAACCAGCCTGGACTGTGAGCACCTTGTGACAGCTGTCCTAGGGGGCGCTCTGGCGAGTTCTGGCAGTGACTCATGCTGCTCTGTCACTCAGATCAGCATTGGCCCCTGCCACGCAGGGTTACAGCCAGAGCATGCACGGAATGGGGAGCTTGAAGCCTGCACTGCGGGGGATGTGATGCCCAGCTCCGCTCGCCAACTCTCCCCGCCAGCCCGCCACAGATGCCTCAGCCTGCAGCCATGGTAACGCTTCTGGCTGGCTACCCACCTGGGAGTCCACCACAGTGGGCAGCCTCCTGGTGATTGATGGACAAGTGTCCACCTTCCCGACCGAGAGAGCTCAGTAGGTCGGCAGAAAGTGGAGAAGATGTAAGATGCCCCTAGCCGGAGTCATGCCTTAACGAGGTAGGATGTAGATGCCCGCCCGGGCTTCCCTACCACCCATCCATGCGCAGGGGTGCCGTAAATCCTGGGAAGAACTTTATTCGCCTGGTGTTTGATTATGCTGATTAAACTGCAGTGGATTTGGGGGGCATGATTGAGGAGGGCTAATGAACTGGGGGTGGGGTGGGGAAAGTGGTTCATAAGATCTCTGAGCATCCTCACCGGGATGTGAGCGAGCAAGACCGCAGTGCTTTCCTCACATGAGTTATAAACCTCCCCAGCCGGCTTCCTCCCCCGCCTCACATTCCACTTAATCCATGAAACATAGAAGTTCCATCTCATTTCAGTGATCTGCAGCAAATATTAATAATGTAGAGCCATCTGGAAGAGGGAAGAAATAGGTTCAGGTCATCTGGCACCAGGCAGCGAATGCCCCGGAGAAGCATTCTGGAAATATCAGGAGCGAGTCGCTTGCTCAGATGAGTTTCCCAAGTGCTTTCCTTCAGTCAAGTGACCTGTTTGAGTTTATCCTTCAGTTTCCCCCAGCAGGGAAGGCAGCCTGTCTGCGGGTTGGTGGCCATGTTGGCAGAGAAGGGGTTAATCTCTTGTTGCTGTATGAGCGAGGCTGGGTCTGCCTGTGTGAGCTAGATTGAAAGCAGGCGCTGCAGTGCCACCGGGAACGCTGAAGGAGTAAGGCGATTTTCTCCGCAACAGTGTTGAATCTGCCTGAATTTTTCTCTCCCCCCTTCTTCTTGTTTTTCTTTAACCAGCTCCTCCCCCCTTCGTTCCCACCCTCAAGTCTGATGATGACACCTCCAATTTTGATGAACCAGAGAAGAATTCGTGGGTTTCATCCTCTCCGTGCCAGCTGAGCCCCTCAGGTTTCTCGGGCGAAGAACTGCCGTTTGTGGGGTTTTCGTACAGCAAGGCACTGGGGATTCTTGGTAGATCTGAGTAAGTGAAAATTTGACTTTCTCAGGGACCTGCATTGATGTAAGACCTCTAGAGCCCAAAGCTGGTGGTGGTGGTGGTGGTGGTAGGGGTGGGAGGAGTGCGGTGGAGGGAAGCTGTTAACCAGCCTGCATTTGGAAAGCAGTTTACCTGTTTGGGCTTCTGTGGGGTAGACTGTTAATATTCTCATTATGCTGTGTTGAAGGGACCTCTTCCTAATTGTCAACTGGGTACTTTGGGTTAGTTTTTCAGTCGTTGGTCCAGTCCCTTCTTTAGAGGGGAAGAGAAAGTGGGAGATAGATACCTCGCAGTGCAGATGCTTGGCCAGAGAACTGTGCAGGGCGAGGCGAGCCGTCCATCCGTGCGCCCTTCTGTCTCAGGTGGGTGGATGGAGGCTGCTATCTTGGCTGTATTGCAAGAATCCTAAATCCCTTGCTCCTGCACTGAAGGTTCCCTGGTGGGTTTAGCTGAGCTGCAGGTGGCTATGCCAGGGCTCTCGCAGAGATGGTGCTGGGCCCCGCTTAAAGTCTGCTGCAAGATCGGGGATCTGGCAGCTGAGCCTCTCTGAACTGGCTGAGCGCTGGCGGCCAGAGAAAGCCCCCGTTACCGTGAGCCACCAGGAGGGAGTGCGATGTAGCCGAGTCATTGATTCACAAAAACTGGGCTTCGCAGGGAAAAAACAAACAAACCGGGAGACTAGAAAATGGAAGTACAAATCCCACAGTAAACCTCTTGACCTGGTACATCCTTCTCCACTGTTGAAAAAGTGAATGAAAAAATGCATTAGCCACGCCGCTTGGGACTGGAGGGTCCTAGCTCCCAGCCTCCTGGAATTGCTCTAAAATGTGGCTCAGTGTCTCGCTTCGTTCTTGTGATAAGATGACATTCTGCGCTCAGAGGCGTGAGTTCCCGGGAAGGTCTTGGCCAGGCTGTGTTGTCCCCAACGCCCTGGCTCCCTCGCTTGGAGGCTCTCGGGGTGATGTTGGGTAATTAGTTGCTGCCCACTTAGGACATGAGCAGAATTTGATTTTCTCCTTGGCAGCGTTCATTCCCGGTTTGCTGTGCTTGTAGCTTAGATCGATTTGAAGGGATGTCATGTTGGTTCTTGGATGGTGTCTCCCTATGGGTGCTGTTGTGATGGCGGTGTTCCTGAAAAGATTTCAGACTATTGTGGGCAGTTGGACACTTGATATGAAATAAGGTCGTGGACCGTGGTTGAATTTGAGAGAGATTTTTATGTGGGCAGATGCTGTGGTGGTCCTTCTTCCCTCCCTGCCTGGTGGTGGGGTTTAAAATTCAGGCTTGGGTTTGGTAGTGTTGACTGTGACTTTCTGGCTAATTTACTCTGTGACCCCCAAAGCAGTCTGGATGATGGGAGAAGAGGCAGGACGCGAACTAGCTGTTGAATGTGCTGTTGGGTAGATTTGAAATGGCCTAACAGGGATGTGAGGTTTCTCATTGGCATCATAGAGCAGGGCAGACTTGGAAGCCCAGTGTAAGAGGGCAGTGGGCAGCTTAACCTTGACCCACTGCACACTGAAGGTCACCAATCAGACTGCAAGGGAGGTGCGTGGAGAGTTCTAATTCTGGTTAGTAGTGGCCTGGCCAGGGCCGCATGAAAGCTTGCTTAGGGTGCTAATCAGTGATCTGAAACACCAGCAAGGACTTGAGGGGATTGGATTTCAGGGGCAGAGGCAGAATGATGTGGGAGATCTCAGGCATTGCAATTAATCCAGAGCGGTGTGTGATTAATTGCTTATTTTCCAGGAAGACTGTAATTGCATCTTTCTGCTTCTCACAAAAAGCTCACTTAAGGGAACTCTCTGACAGGCCATCTCGTGTTAAGGCCCAGGCACTTGATAGATATTTGTTGATTTAATTTACTCATGATCCTTTCCCCCAGATTGTGTTTATATTGCTTACTGTATTTGAAGATACACTGTTTCACCTTTGGTAGTTCAGAACTATCTCTAGAGCATAAAATGGGCTGCTGTTCAGGCCCCAGCAGAATGCATAATAAAAGTCTCATTAAAAAAAAAAGTCAGTGCAGATAAAACCACGTCTTTCTTATTTTGAAGACAGATTGGAGTGCTCCTGTCTTCAGGGAATTTTAAAGCCTCCTCCCTATCAATTTGGGGTTGGCATCAGAGAGGTTTTCTCCTGTCTTCCGTCTTCTCATGTGCTTGTGCAGTAAGACGTGGCTGTTCTGCCAAGGGCAACCCTGTGGGTGAAACCCGCAGCTTCGTTTTAGACATTCACTCCACCTGTTGGTTGGAGGTGACCCCGGATGTATTGGATTATGATCATTTAGAAATCCAATAAAAGAGGTGAAGTGATGCAATTACTTAGAAGTTCCTGCTGTTTTGTGGCTATAACTAAAAAATCTAATTGGAGGCTGGGGGGAGGCACTTTCTGCGGGGTACCACTGTGGCCACCAAGGACCTTGTGTTGCTTCTGGAACTTTCCCATCTCCCCTCCTGGTTTTTCAACTTCACGGGTTTTTATTTACACACGATGATTACCTGTGCCGTTACTCACTCTTTCACACCACTGAGGAAATTGAAGATGCTGCTATACTGCACTGGGTAAATTGACCCCCGATCTCTTCCCTGTGAATTGAATGAAATGCTCAAAGGTGGAACTGAAGGAAGGAGGGATTTGCACAGAGACTCGGGCAGCGAGAATGATTTTGATTCTTGCAATTGCTGGTCACTTTGTAGAATCCTTTTTAGGGGGAAGCCCCGACTATTTTTACACCAGCCATCAAGTCCATCATCAGTTTAACAAGAATCTGGATCTCAGCATTCTGTGTGAGTTCTTGCAGCCCGAGTGGGTGGAAGCAAAAGAGATTCTACAGAACCTGTTTTGGTTGCCTTTGCGGAGGGGTTATGGCTAAGCTAGTGCGGAGAGTGTCTGTCCAGTGCCTCTTTTTCCTTTTAACCAGCAATAACCAGATCGCTAAGCTCCGCGAGCCTGAATGTGCCTTGAATTTTGCAGTGGAATGGTAGCTGGAAATCAGAGTGTTCAAGGCTTAAAAATGAAATGCCTCCTGGCTCTCTTCCCTCCCCTGTTGGTGCGTGGAACATTTCTTTAGGTCCCTGCCCTTTCTCCCAGTGCTGAGATACTGCCTTGTTTCAGCTCATTTCTACAAGCCTGCAGTTTGAACTCTAGAAAGAAAAAAAGACAGTTGGTTTTATATTTTGTGTTAGTTTGACACATGCTGGCTTTATGCTTTTGGAGAAATTGTTAGAGGAGCAGTGGGATCTTGACGAGGCTGGAATCTGGGATGGCAGTGCCCGAATACACAATTTTTGGAATGGAAAGTCTTTTCCTTTTGCTCAGGGCTCCTTCCTTTCCTTTTGGGTGCTCTGAAACTTTTGTTTCAGGAGCAGCCAACCAGACTCCATGGTGGAATGAAAAAATGGCTGCCACCATTGCCTTCCAAGAGTTTCAGAGAACCAGTTTTTGACCTTCTAGCTCTTTGAGTCTCTTCCTTGCTCTCTATGGGTTTCTTTGCATGCCACTCTCCTCAGCTGCAAAGTGGGGTGACGGTGATACTAGTGTTTTGGGACTATGGAAAAGATTAAGTAAAATCGATAGTGCTTTGTCTACCTGGCACATGGAAATGTTTCAAAAGTTCACTATTAATATTTTTGTTATTGCTAAACCACTAGTCTGTCTATGCATAGTGTCCTTTTATGTATGCCAAGAGGATATGGAAAAAACTTAGCAATAATTAAATAGTTCCAAGTCATATCGGAGCAGAAACCCAGCCCTGGGGATTTTCTGTAAGAGATACTTGAGCATCTGGACCAAGCAAAAGTTAATATGCAGTTGCCAAATATGTAGTTTAAAGGTGGTTGATGGGGTGGGCCGGGAGACAGAATTAGAAGGCTCCATTCCTTGATGGGCTCCTTCCCAACAAGTTGAGCAAGTCAAAGCATATGTGTGTGAAACCATTCAGGAACCTAAAGCAAAACCCCTTTGCTGCAGAAGATCACAGCACAAATTGCTATAGGAGAGTTGGAACAGCAAGACAAAGTCCAATGTGAGGGCACGTAATGGCCACTGCCCAAACCTTACCAAATCACAGTGACCACCTGTCTCGGAATACCTGCCACTTCCCCAGGTCAGCTGTGATCTCCAGGGGTGTTGGGTCTCACTCATCATGGTGTCCCTGGAGTGCAGGGGCGTAGTGGACCTTCAGTAAGTCTGTGGGTTGGAGTTGAGCTTGTAAGCATTTTAATGGAGGGAAGAAGATTTGACTCAACTTCTTAAAAGAAAGCGGGTTTGGATAAGTGGAGAAGAAAGTTGAAAGAACTTCCAGTGGGCAGAGTGAACAAACAGCAGCGCACCCTCACAGGTACCTGCTCGGCCTGGGCTCTGTTCCAAGCGCTCGCCCCAGACGTACTCACTTAAATGGCACAACTGCTTGCGAGGAGGGTATGGTCATTCCCATTTCATCCGCGAGGGATCTGAGGCACAGAGATGGAGCTGCTTGTCCAAGGTCACGCAGCTTCCATTGACTCAGCCGGGACTTGAACCCCAGGTGGGGCGGCTCCAAAGTCTCTTAATGGCTGTGCTGACAAGTACAGCTGCCGCAGACGGTGGGGAAGGAGGTTCATGTGGGGCTCACAGGCACATCGGAGGTGGCAACCCATCATGGGGATGGCATGCAGTGGGGTTGGGGTCGAGGGGTGAGACCTGGCAGACCCACTCCCTGCTAGGTTTAGTTTTGGTTTTTGCCAATTGCGTTTAGTAGGTGGAATGTGTCGCTTACGGATTTTTTTGCTTTCTTCCTCTTTTCACCTAGAGATTCTTACGTGTGTGTGTGTGTGTGTGTGTGTACATGCACATACACACATAGACTCTCCGGGAGAGGTCTTCCCTATGTGTGCATAAGTGTTTAAACCTGAGGTCTTGCTACGGTGTTTATCATGGTGTAAGCTGGGTGAGGACAGGGACTGCCTTGACCTTGCTCGCCATGGTACCTTCAGGCTGGC